ATGGCTGAGGAAACTCTAGGTAGGAAGCACTGTTTGCAGAGCGGGGGACGGGGTCCAAGCGCCCATGGCCTGGCCAGCATCGGTCCCCAGACCGCCACAAGACCAAACTCTCTTTCTGAAGCCTCTTAAGAGAAACTCCCTAGAGCCGAGGTGAGGGGGTGGAGGGTGGCCTCCCAGCCTCACCCCGCAGCCCCCAGGTCCACCCCACATCCTGCCCCGGGCCTGTGAGAGCCTTCCTGACCGTCCCCACACCTTCCTCCCCACGGCTCCCATCTCCTGTCACTTTGCTGTCACTCAGTGACGCTGGACACGTTCATGTCAGCTTTCTCATCTGTATGAAGGGTCCCCCTGAAAATGGAATTTATTTACCAAAAGTCGTGCATTTATTCTCACATGTTCAAACCTCAGTCACCTTCAAAGTACTCTCCGTTCACTGCAATACACCTTTCTTTTTTTTATTTTATTTGAGTTGGAGTCTCACTCTGTCACCCAGACTGGAGTGCAGTGGCCGCTCCCGTTCACCGCAGCCTCGACCTGCTGGGCTCCGGCGATCCTTCCGCCTCAGCCTTCCGAGTAGCTGGAACGACAGACACGCGCTACCACGCCCAGCTAATTTTTTGATTTTTATTGTGGAGATGAGGTCTCGCCAAGTTGCCCAGGCGGGTCTCGAACCCGCGGGCTCAGGCAATTCGCTCACCTCAGCCTCCCAAAGTCACGGGATGACAGGCTGAGCCACCGAGCCCGGCGTAATACACCTTTCAAGATGCTGTTTCCACTGCTCAAAACAGTTCTCGAACCCATCGGTTTTTGTTTCACCTCTTCCACCTCAGCAAAATGTTTCCCTTTTGAGGACTTTTTTCATCTGGGTGAACAAAAAAAGTCGCCCAAGCCAGACTGGGTGAATAGGGAGGGTGGGACACGGGGGTCAAGCAGTTTGGGCCAAAAACAGCTGTCCGCTCAGCGTGGTGTATGCAGGCAGGCGTGCTCGTAAATCTCCCGTCATGAAATGGACAGATGAGTTTAAAGAATCTCCAAAAAAACCTCACGGAAGCCAAACACAACCTCTCGCGACAACGTTAGCTGGTACACGGATGCTGATAGGTCCCTAGAACACTCACCTGTACTATACCGCCCTCCAGAAGCCAATTCTGGTTTTTGGCATTCCCCCTTGTAAAACAGGTCTTTACTCTTTGGGCCCCTCGCGTGACCCAAGGTCAGCAGGGGTGAGGAAGGAGGTCTTGATCTCCTGCCTTCCCACCTGCAGGCTCACAGTGACAGTGCAGGAGATACTAGCCCCTTAAAAAGCTCGCACAACCTCCCCTGGACAAAAGCGGATATCCACACAGCCCGGTGACGCACCCCAGAAGGGAGGCCCTTAAGCAGAAGTCATGGGGTTGGCCGAGCTCGGTGGCTCAGCCTGTCATCCCGCGCCTTGGGAGGCTGAGGTGAGTGGATGGCCCGAGCCCGGGGGTTTGAGACCCGCCCGGGCAACTTGGCGAGACCTCATCTCCACCAGAAATCAAAAAAATTAGCTGGGTGTGGTGGCGCATGCCTGTAGTTCCGGCTACTTGGAAGGCTGAGGCAGGAGGGTCGCCGGAGCCCAGCAGGTCGAGGCTATGGTGGCTGTGAGCTGGTGTCACTGCACTTCAGCCTGGGCGACAGAGTGAGACTGCAACTCCGGAAAAAAAAAAAGTCATTTCCAGGACTTGGTATTGTGTCTGCAGGCAGAAGGGCTGGCAGAGTTGGTGGAATCAGTCAGTCAGTCTACACTGAGCCCGTGAGTTCAGTGCTGTCTCCTATCCTGGCACTGCTTCCTACCCCAAAGTCTCCTGCACAGTGAGTGGCCTTTGTCACATGCTCTTGCAGCAGCCTTCCCCTCTCAGAAGGCACCTACCAAAAAGGCAAGTCCAAGACTAAGGGTGTGATTAGCTGGCGGGCCCCGAGGCTCAGGAGTCTAGGTGGCATCTCTCTCATTCCTGGCTACATCTTGAGGCTACACTCCCAGGGACTGCATACAGCAGGAGATCGGCAGTGGATGCCTCCTGCAGTGCCCAGGGGCTCAAAATAACCAGCCAGGCAGCTGCAGGGCACATCCCTGGTTACTGACAATTCCTGCAAGACGCAGCCTTCCAGAGATCGCAAAACCAGCCCACCAGGCCCCTTGCCCACCGCTCACGGCATTCTTGCAACTGCTGCCTGGAGAGGTCCAGGGCCTCATTTTTGGAGGCAGATGGCATAGAATTAAATCGAATGCCTATTCCCAGAGAAGAGGTACTCTAGTATTTGAAGTGCCACAAGTCTCAGCAGTTCTGGGTAAAGGTATGCGAGTGCCCATAAGACAATGAAAACGTGTCTGGATGACCCAAGCAGACAGTCTACACGTGGCTTGTGCTTTATGGCTAAGGTGAAAGTTCCTGTCTGTGGTTCTTGTCTCAGAAGATGACTGCTGAAAGAATGAATGAATGGAGTGAGCACACGACCAGACAGGTGCCCTCGATGGTGGGGCCGGGCCTCCTTATGGGTAACCTGCACACTCCCTTCGCTGTGGAGCAGGAAACCCCCTACCTTGCTCGGGCCACAGCTGCCCCCTCTGGGGCAGGGAGGGACACTGTGCCCAGCCCCCCAGAGTAGCCTTGTGCCCTGAGCACGTGTGTGTGAAGGACACGACAGAGTGTCGCTGGCCAAGTCGCTTCCTCTGGGGCTTCATTTTCTCACCAGGAGAGAGGGGTGCCCCGCCAACACGAACCAAGAACCAGAGCACGGTCAAGTCTAACACCCTCCTTCCAGGTCTCTGACTCCATTTTAGGAATCAACCTGAAGAAGAAATGTCATGCATTTAAGGAGTTTAGAAGCTCATCAGTGCAGAAAAGTGAAAACAACGTCAGTTCTTGCCATGGGGAACCGGGAGATGCCGCAGGCTGTATGTAAGTACTGTTATGTCTGCTGTCAGAATCTGTACCAACATAGGAAGCTTTAGCTATAATGTTAATTATGTTAAGTGCAAACATTTCTATATATAATAGGATCAGGAGTAAATGAAAAAGAAACAACCTGTGCACAGAAAATAGTTGGAAAGAAAAACATGAAAAAGTGACTAGCAGTTGTCTCCAGGCTTTTAAAAACGTCTAACTTAGCCGGGCTCGGTGGTTCAGCCTGTAATCCCGTGCTTTGGGAGGCTGAGGTGAGTGCATTGCCTGAGCCCACGGGTTTGAGACCCATCTGGGCAACTTGGTGAGACCTCATCTCTACAATAAATCAAAAATTAGCCGGGCGTGGTAGCACCCGGTTCCAGCTCCTTGGAAGGTTGAGGCGGAAGGATCGCCGGAGCTCAGCAGGTCGAAGCTGCGGTGGCCAGAAGCAGCCACTGCACTCCAGTTGGGGTGACAACAGAGTGAGACTCCAACTAAAAAAAAAAAAAAATAAATAAATAAATAAAAATAAAAAATAAAAAAGTAAAAATAAAAACGTCTAACTGGCTGGGCTCGGTGGCTCAGCCGGTAATTCCAGCACTTTGGGAGGCCGAGGAGAGAGGATTGCCTGAGCCTGCGGGTTCGAGATCAACCCGGGCAACTTGGCAAGACCTCGTCTCTACAACTAAAAAAAAAAAAAAAAAATTTAGCCTGGCGTGGTAATGCGCACCAATAGTTCCGGCTACTTGGGAGGCTGAGGTGGAAGAATTACCGGAGCCCAGCAGATTGACGCTGGGGTGGCCGTGAGCGTGTCACTGTGCTCCAGCCTGGGCAACAGAGTGAGACTCCAACTCAAAAAAAAAACAACAGACAAAAACCCTCGCCCCAAAAACCATCTAACTGGTTTCGTTCTCTGAGAGTTTTGAAGACTGCAGCTTGGTGCTTCAGAGTAAGTCCAGTTTTAGCAGAAGTCCAGTCCCAACGCCTGTGAGCCCAGACAAATGACTCCGCAGCTAAGGATACTCCCTCATCAACGGGTGTGCATTGGTCAGCACGGCACCTGTAGCCTGAAAGCAGTCCACAATGCCAGCTGTCATTTCAGTGCAGGACAAGCTTCACAAACTTGTTGTAATAATTAAAACTCAAAGGAGCAGGGTGGGGGTGAGGGAAATGGGGAGTGACCGCTAACGGGTATCGGGTTTCTTCTTGGGGTGATAAAAAATCTTCTGGAATCGGACAGTGGTGATGGCTGCACAATACCGTGGCTATCAAAAAGCCGCCCAACTGTACACTTCCAAATGGTGAGTCTTGTGATATACGGATTATGTCTCAATTTTAAAAAACGGGGGACAAGCAAATGAAAATTAGAAAAGGCTGGGCTTGGTGGCTCAGTCTGTAATCCCAGCGCTTTGGGAGGCCGAGGTGAGTGGATTGCCTGAGCCCACGGGTTCGAGACCCGCCTGGGCGACTCGGCGAGACCTCATCTCTACAATAAATAAAAAAATGAGCCGGGCGTGGTAGCGCACGCCTGTAGTTCCAGCTCCATGGAAGGCTGAGGCGGAAGGATCGCTGGAGCCCAGCAGGTCGAGGCTGCGGTGGCCGGGAGCGGCCACTGCACTCTAGTCTGGGCGACAGTGAGACTCCAACTCAAAAAAAAAAAAAAAGAAAATAGGAAAAGGGTCATAACTGGGGCTTCCCCAAACAGGAATGAGGATTGAGGACGGGTTCAAACCTCTGGCTCAGGGGAGGAGGCTCAGGAAAATGTGCTCCTTTTCCCTCCCAGCTGATTTAATTCTCAGCGGGGTGATGCCGTGTCTTATTGACCCTTTGGCTCTGGAGCCTTTCTGGGCAGTCTCAGGAGAGGCAGGGGACAGGACCTGCCAGATGGCAGAGAGAGAAGGAAACAGGCTCTTGGCTGACTTTCTAGCTGACTGGCAGGTGAGGGTACAAATAAGAAGGCGGTGGGGGCAGAAATCAGGAGGCGGGTGGTGGTAGAAAAACAAAGGCAGGCAGCAGTAGAAACGCAGAGGCGGGCAGCCAGCCTCGACTTTGGGCACGGTCTCGCCACGTCGCAGGCAGAGAAGCGCTTACCTAGGAATCCCTCCTCATCAACGATAATCGTGTAGTCCTCCGGGGTCTCGGTCAGACTGAAGAACTTGCACCTGAGTGGACAGACAGACACAGGGTATCTCGTGAATCCTAGCAGGCCTCCAGTGGCAGCTGGCCCTTCCCCTGCAACTCAGTGGGAGATGACTCAGTTTGCCCAGAGCTCTACCCCAGTGGCCTCAGGTAGGCCGCTTGTCTCTCCCTCTGTGTCCCCCTCAGTTCTGACTCAGGAGGTCGCAGAGAGGACTAGAGATGCTGACTGTGTTCTCTGTACCCTTTGATCTCTGGGGACCACTGAGCCGGCCAGCCCCTGAGATCCTGTCCAGGCCCGAGGGAGGAAGTGGCCAAAGGATGGCTCTGCAGATCTGGGGGTCATATAGATGACCTACCCCTCTCCTGGGCTCTCCAGGCCTCTGTCCCTGTTCCCCCATTGCCCTGGCCCCTCTTAACAACTCAAGAGCCGCGGTCATTGAAGGTCTAATTCCCTCGTATCTGACCGACAGCCGTCGGGTTACTTTCCCTCCTTAAAGAGCGAGGGGCATGCATAGCTGTCCGTGACGTTTTTGGGGCCCAGATCTCTGTACTGCCCACATCACCTTCGATAATTTCACTTAGCCTGGGGTATACATTGCTCATTTCCCCTCAAAAACGAGACCATTAATTCCGCAAGGACAGGGACCAGGAACAACCCGTCCCTGTTGTTTGCTCCTGAGCACGCTCTTAATACCCAGTGGGCAGAGGGAGACTGGATCTATGTCCAGGTGGCCCCCAGGCTGGGCTTTGAGGCTTTTGGTCCCTGGGTGAGGGGAGCTTTCACGCCCTCAATGCTGTGTCCATGTGCCCCGTTCAGTCAGCACCGCCCCCAAACACCTCGGAGAGTGCTGCAGGGAGAGATGGTGAGCTCGAGCTTGCAGGAAACTGACCTGCGGTCACTTATCTGGCGTCGCCGCTCAAGCACGAGGCTAGGCACAGGTCCCACGCCCAGTGAGTCACCCAGGCAAGGGCCCAAACATCACTTCCACAGAGATGAAAACAGAACGGGGATCTTGAAGTGGACATGGCATTGCAGGGGACAAGGCGGCCAGTGCGTCCGCGGGCTGTCCTCTTTCCTGTCCTTTCCTGCCAGCGGCCCTGCTGCCTGGTCCTCAGAGCCCCCCAGCTCCCCTTTGAAATGCACCCCTTAAAATCTTCACAAGGACGTGGAGCCTGGAAACCTCCTAGTTGCAGTAGGAAGGCAAAGTAGTTCGCTCTGGACAACGGTCTGGCAGTTTCTTTTTTTTTTTGAGTTTGTCTCACTGCCACCCAGGCTGGAGGGCAGTGGTGGGATCATGACAATCGTGGTTTGACCTCCTGGGCTTAGGTGACCGTTTCATCTCAGCCTCCCGAGCAGCTGGGACTACAGGCAGGCACCATCATACCCGGCTGACTTTTTATTTTTAATTTTTTGTAGTCAGGAGTTCTCACGATTTTGTCCAGGCCTTGACCTCCTGGGCTCAAGAGATCCTCCCACCTCAGCCTCCCCCACCCAGTCAACCCACTGGCAGTTTCTTGCAGAGCTTGGCATGTCCCGACCGTCCGACTGGCACTCCCACTCTGGGGTGGGCACCCACAGACGAAGACGTGTGCCCACACAAAGACCGGGTGTAAACGCACACAATTTTGTCCGCAATCACCCCACACTGGGAACAGCCCCGAGGTCCTCCCTTCAACTGGAGAGCAGATAAACGGTGGCACGGCCACACGACAGAATACCAGACGGCGATAAAAAGGAGTAAATGACTGATTTGTGCAGTAAATGTGGATGGATCTCGAGTGCATTTTGCAGAGCTGAAGAGGCCAGGCTCAAAAAGTTACATGCTGTGTGATTCTATTTATGTGACGCCCTGGAAGGGGTGAAACCATAACATGTGATTAGCAGTTGCTGGGGGTGTTGGGTCGACCACAGAGGGGGAACTGGGGAGCGAGGGTCCCTTGATTGTGGAGGTGGTTGTAAGTCACAGAAGTCTGTCAAAACTCCAAGAACTCCCTGCTAAAAGGGGCGAGTTTTGCTGTATGTAAGTTTTTTTTTTGTTTGAGTGGGGTCTCACTCTGTCACCCAGGCTGGGGTGCAGTGGCATGATCACAGCTCACCACAGCCTTGACCTCCAGGGATCAGTCTTCTGTCTCAGCCTTCCAAGAAGCTGGGATTACAGGCACGCACCACCACGCCTGGCTGATTGTTTTATTTTTTTTTTTGGTAGCGATGAGGCCTCACTATGTTGCCCAGGCTGGTCTCGAACTCCTGGGCTCAAGCCATCCTCCCCAAGTGCTGGAATTGCAGGCGTGAGCCACCCTGCCTGGCCTATATGTAAATTATACCGAGTAACCCTGACTTTAAAGAAAACCCCGGTGCTGGGGTGGTCCATGAGGCAGCCTTCTCCCCTCTTCGGGGAAGCGGCCCTGTGTTCCACCACCAGCACGCACACCTCAATTTCTTTCCGGTTCTGGTTTTCAAATTACATCGCTGGGCCTGCCTGTCCACATCCAATTTGCAGCTACTGCCTGGACACATGAAATCTATAATTGCTTTGAGGACAACGGTGAATTATCACCTCAGTAAGTGGCCACTACTGGTCAGGCCCAGCCCCTTCCTGGGGCCCTCACGCACTCAGAGACAGCCCTGGAAGCCCCCCCGTCTTCAGACAGCCGTGAGCAGGTACTCCTTGGGTGGGGCGGGACGGGCCTGTCCAGCTGCCTGCTAGAGGCCGGTGGCGGCAAATGGGCGTTGCCTGCCCCTAGTGGCCTCTGGGCCATGAGGGATGTCCCAGAAATAGACCACATGCGTTATCCTGGAGGCATCGGCACCGGCAGAAGGTGGCAGCAGCCTGCATGTACACGGAGTATAAATATGTTGCTGAAGTGACCCGTCTCCCGGGGCCGAGCGCCCCACAGGCCCTGCCAGCTGCCGGACGTCCATCTTGGGACGAGCACCTTGGCATGGGCAGGCCTCAGGGACTTGCTGCGGTCGCCAAACTTGGGAGTCAGCCCCAGACTCGACCCCACCCTTGCTCCTACTTCTTACTTCCCAAGTCCCCCTGAGATGTTTTCCCCTCTCTCCACCTCTGCCCCACCACGAACTCCTGCCTGGAATACCGTACCAGCCTCCTCCTGCTTTGCCTCTCTCTTCTGCTCCTGGCTGGCCTCCACCACCGCCCAGCATACCCTTCCCCTCACTGGCTGAGACTTCCTGCCCATCCTTTAGGACTCAGTTCCAGTATCTCCTCCGGGGTACAAGCTTTCCTCATCAGCACGGCCGCCACCACTTCCTCATCTCCCGCCACAGAGGTGGTCTTCCCTTGACAGCCTCTCACTACGTCTGGGAGAGGACTTTCAGGCCACCCTGGACAGCTGGGCTGGTGGGGCTTCACAGCTCTGGGGGAGTTCATTCATCTCACAGTCTGTGTGAAGTATGCCCTTAGAGTTAGGCAGTGCACAACCTGTGCAACTGTGCATGATGGCTCTGCGTGCTCCACGATCTATTACAATAACACCTTAAGGGTCTGCTTCCTTCCATAGACCACAGCTCTCAGAGGCAAGGACAGTGGGTCCTCTGTACATATACCTGGCATCCGACACTGACTGGGCAAAGAATCAGCACTCAGTGATTGCTAAGCAAAGGGGTGAACTGTGGTCACGCACCGACCTCAGAGACGTCCCCACCAGAATGACCCTGCCCGCCCGCCTTCATGTCGCACTGCCATGACTTGTTTATTCCTTCTGTGGAAGAGTAAGTCTCCAGGCCCCGCGCTCTCCGCCTTCTCTAATGACTTGTGGCGGGGTCCACACCTCAGATGCTGGGCCCTGGTGTTTGGACATTTTTTTACTCTAAAAAGAGCTGGCGAGAAGAAAGACCAAGACCCCCAGAGTACCCAGCCTGGGGTTAAGTACAGTTAGAAAACCCAAAGGCACGGAGAGAACTATTTGCCTTCTAGATGCCCTCACGGTACCTAGGAATAAGATGACACAAAGACCCCTTTCCCAGCACAGTCAGGGCTCAGTGCCGGCTCCCTGTAGGGGAAATCCCACGCAGAGGACCAGGGTCACTTAGGAAGCAGGAGCCAGCTTTGGGGGGCCAGGCCTGGTACAGGTCCCAGGCTTGATTCTCATAGGGGCACAATGTCCTGTGACAGCCAGAACCTGTCAAAGTCACCAGACAAGCCCAGGGCTTTGCGATCAGAGCCAGGCCAGTTGTACTTTGAAAGGACCCTAGAGCCTTCACAACCCAAAACGACCCGTCCTCCCAAATCAGAGAGGCTCTGCCGAAGGGGTCTCAGAACAGGCTTCCTGCACGCGACAGGCACCTACTTAGAAATCCTTCTTGGGCTTCCTTAGAGCAGGTTCTCTCTCTGCCCGCCTTGAGAGCCAGGGTGTTTCTTGCAAAGGGTGACCCATTCAGTCTGGAAGGAGAGAGGCTCAGCCAATCTTCTGCAGCCTGCCCTGGTGAGGAGACGGAGAGCCTGGGTCTGAAACCCTTGTCCCTGCAAGCTGACTGTCCCCAGCTGACGTTTTTCTACTGTGGCTTACGGAAGCCTACTACTGTTATTATTATGATTATTATTGAGTGGGAGTCTCACTCTGTCGCCCAGCCTGGAGTGCAGGGCCACCGCAGTCTGGACCTGCCGGGCTCCGGTGATCCTTCCACCTCAGTCTTCCAAGTAGCTGGAACTACAGGCACGTGCCACCATACCTGGCTAATTTTTGGATTTATTGTAGTGATGAGGTCTCACCAAGTTGTCAGGCTGGTCTCAAACCCCTGAGCTCAGGCAATCCTCTCGTCTCCGCCTCCCAAAGTGCCGGGTACAGGCGTGAGCCACTGCGCCCAGCCTCACGAGAGCCTTTTAAACAATTCAGCGAGTGGCAGCCGTGCTCTGGGGCCGCTGTTCACGGGGCTTTTCTTCCCAAAGGAAACCAGGCAGCCGGTGCGCGTCAGGATTTGTTCTCTTAACCAGCTGTGGTTTTTCATCCATCTCTCCTGGGTCTCCGATAGGTCTCTCATGTTATTTACATTTCATTTCTGCCGTCTTAACAACTAGAAGCTGCCCTTGCAAGTTTTAGTTAGGAAAAAAGTCCTTAATTGGTTCCGCAGTTTGAAGGGCAACCCCGAACGGGAGTTTCTTTTGCTGTCAGGTGGAAAATAAAATGTGTGTGTGTCATGGGCGGTCAGGAGCATCAAATCGGACAGTGTGGGTGACAGTGTCTGGCCAATTCTAGGGTGATACGAGAGGTGGGTCTACCCAAGGAGACGGGCAGGGCAGGGCAGAAGAGACCAGAAAGGTCTGGAGAAAGCCCCCGGGGCCCAGGGTCCCTCCAGGGGGACCGGCCTTTGCAGACAGGATCCCACCTTCTGCCTGTCGCCTCTTGGTGTGACATGAGTCTGGTCTCCCCATGCCTCATGGCCCCCAGCCCAACTTTCGCAGGCAGGAGAAGTGCCCTCAACCAGTCACCTCCCCCGTGATGATGCCACCCATCACCGCCCTGAGACTACACTTTTCCAGATCTGTGTCTCTGCGGGAGAGCTACCTGTTCCTGGGAGGTGGGGCCGCACCTTTGCCCTCCAGGTCCTGACACCTGGCCCAGGGTCTGTCATTGACAGACAGGAAAACTGGAGCTCAGTTAGGCGTTGGGTTCCTAGAGGAGCTCAGTTAGGCGTTGGGTTCCTAGGTTCCAAGCAGCCGCAGGTGGGGCTGCCTGAGGGCAGGTGGGGCTTGCGGCATGAGCTCCATGACTCAGCCTTTCCATGCAAAGGCATCCACCGTTTACAGATGTGTAACAGGAGACAGGACAAGAGGATTCTTAACAGCCTGTTCTCGGTAACAAAAACCTGGCTGCAGCCCAGATGCCTATCAGCAGGAGAGGACTCGAATAATGGCAGAATATTACCCAGCAGGCAACACTAGCCTTCTACAGTGGCATGCAAAGAAATGAATGAATCTCAGCAATGCCATTGTCCAGTGGATGGAAAAACAAGTACCCAAACATTGTGTACAGCAGGGAGCTTTTTTGACAGAGTTAAAAGCAGCTATAATTTAAAAAATACACCCCTGGCCAGGTGCAATGACTCATGCCTATGATCCCCGTACTTTGGGAGCCTGAGGCAGGCAGGATTGCTTGAGGCCAGGAGTTTGACACCAGCCGGGGCAGCATAGTGAGACCTCATCTCTAAAAAAAAAAATAAAAAAATGAGCTGGGCATGGTGGCATGTGCCTGTAGCCCCAGCTACTCAGGAAACTGAGACAGGAGGATTGCTTAAGTTCAGAATCTGAGGTTGCAGTGAACTATGATCACACCACTGCACTCCAGCCTAAGTGGCAGAGAGTTCCTGTTTCAAAAAAAAACACCTCTAAGGACTCCAGAGCCGGGCTCGGTGGCTCAGCCTGTAATCCCGTGCTTTGGGAGGCCGAGGTGACTGGATTGCCTGAGCCTGCGGGTTCGAGACCCGCCTGGGCAACTTGGAGAGACCTCATCTCTACAATAAATCAAAAACTAGCCGGGCGCCTGTAGTTCCAGCTACTTGGAAGGCTGAGGTGGAAGGATTTCCGGAGCCCAGCAGGTCGAAGCTGCGGTGGCCGGGAGCGGCCACTGCACTCCAGTCTGGGCGACAGAGTGAGACTCCGACTCAAAAAGAAAAAAAAAAAGACTCCATAGAGTTACACTTTTAACTACCTAAAAAAGCGGCAAAGGATGGAGGTGCATAGTTTACCTTGGAGAGAGCAGGACGGGGATCTTCTGGTTAAATGCAGGCTGCTGTCCAGACCTGACTTTGAGTCTGGCTTTAGCCTATGCTGATTCTATTGTGAACGTGAATTAGCTGGATAAGTCTGGTTTGGACATCTGCACGTTCATGATGGATGTGGAGTTAGGGACCTGAGCTGAGGTCATCTGGGACCCAGGATGAGAGGGCTGCAGCCGGGTCCTGGAAGGCAGAAGCTGGTCTCCAGGGAACTTGGATTGAGGGGAGGTTTAGGCAGCAGACAGGTGGGCCTGGGTTTTGCCAAAGGGTGTGGAGGACCAGCCACAGAACTCGAGCCAGGGCAGGCCCCTGGGCTCAGAAAGGTGCAGGACACCGAGTTAAAGGGACACCCAGAGGAAGTGGCCAGAGAGGCATCCAGGCTCCAGGCACCCCAACTAGGCAAGAATCTGGTCTGAACAGGCAAAAAGGTCCCAGAGCTACAAGCTCCTCCTCTGCCCCTCCGACCATCCTAGTCATCCAGTTTGGCCTGGGCTGGTCCGTGAGGTGGGGTTTGCTGTGGCTCCACTGATATCTTTCCACTTCGCAACTTGGTCCCAGACCACAGTCTAGTATTCATCTGTCCCTTGGTAGGGGCAGGTCAATGCTCTGGAGAGAGTCATGCCTTGGAGGGGGCGGCGGCTGGGTTTGGACATCTGCACAGCCCCCAAGCCTGTGCCCCACTCCCAGGAGGGGCACACCCCTCTGCCCTCGGGGGCCAGCGGGGGAAGTCGGTGTTCCTTTGTAGATGAAAGCCTGGGACACGCGTGGTTGCTTTTATAAACAGCTTCTATGCTTTTTTGGATAAGTGAGCGACATTCCCAGGTTTTCTCCTGACAGGACTGGAAGCTCATTCAACCTTCCGCGTTCCTCACACGGCAGCTGAGAACACACACTGCCACACGACCTCTGACCTCTCAAAGGCTGCAGATGGTTTTTGTCCACGGAAACATTAGACCCTGGAGCAATCTGTAGTCCTGCCCCCTCTCCCCAAGTCACAGACACTTTCAATCGGGGAAGCAACCCCGGAGGGCTTGCTAGGACAAGACCTTGGGGCCAGGATGGGGCATTGCCTGCAGTGGTAGTCCTGTTGCCTGGCAACTCTGCGAGTGGCCCTGAGTGCTGGGTCACCCTCATTCCTTCCAGCCACCAGCACCTCAATGCTACAGGGTACTGCCCGCCTGGGGGTCAGGGTGACCTTGGAGGCCCCCTTGGCCGGCCCCTCCCTACACGATCCCTGCCCGACCCTGCCCTTGGCCATGACCTTCAGCTTGGACCGGACTCCTGCCCTGCCTCTCTCCCCGTCTGGCACGCTCGGCACCCCAGGTTTCCTAAGACACAGGTCAGGCGGTGAGGCCCCTCCTCAAAATCCCTCAGACCGTCTAGCCGTCTTATCCCTCCACTATCGCTGGTGACCCCTTCCCCTTCTAGATTCTCCCAGCGTATCCTGGCAGTTTGCCTCACCCTTGGCTTCCTCGTCTTAGCAACACACAGGCTCAAGTTTCTTCTCTCCTAAAAACAGGCTTCCCTTTTCCCCACCTCCTTCCCAGGCCACCACCTTCCCGCCACCCCGACAGGGCAGGCCCTCAACCCCTCCCAGGCATCCTGCCCGCCGGCCGGTGACCTCCCCAAGCCTGCCAGCCTCCCTCAGACCCTCCTGGCTTTGACCCCCTGGCTGCCCTTGGCCGAGGCCTCCCTGATCTCCCACCTGGTCTCTCTAACGTCTGCAGACACGGACCCTCCTCTTTGCTTCCTGCAGTGGTTGCTCTCCTCGGCCCTAGCCTAGGCGGCTCCCGAGGGACACCCCAGGTCCCCTCCACCTCCCTACACACTCTCCCCAGATTCTTACTCCCGGCCTTCCCAGCCTAGGCTACCCCTCTGGACTTGTACTTTTCTGCCGGTGCACCGGCTTCACCGGTCGACTCAATTCTCACGGCACCTCTCCGCGATAGAAGCTGTGGCTCTCTATTTCACAGACGAGGAAACAGGCTGGGAGAGGCTGAGAAACCCGACAGCTGACCGACACCATGCGGACCCTCTGAGAGTTGCTGACGTGGGCCCTTGTCCTGACGGCATGAAATGGAATCGCACTCTGGTCGCTGACTCTGAAAACCCATTGTTGTTCCCCCTGGGGCCTGGCCTGGAGCCAACTACCCGGGCAGAGCCAGGCAGGGGACTGCCTCGACACGGGCGAGAAGCTGAGTCATCTCCGAGAAGAACATTCCCATCTTCAGTCGCTGCGGCTGCCTGTGGTGGCCGCCCGGCTGACACGGGTAACTTAATCTGTTTACCCGCAGATTCCTAACCCAATAGAACGGGGCCCTCCAGGGGCCTCTCCCCGGGGCATCCCGGGCGACCAGCCTGGGTCCAGCCAGAGCCCAGGTCCAGCAACAGATCTTAAACCCCAAGATTGGGGGGGGTAGGGGAAGGGAGAGCCATTTGCAGGTAACTTGCCTGGCAAAACTCACTCTAGGTTGTCAGATTCATGAGCCAGATCAATCAGCAGAGGGAAGAGAAAGCAGGTGGTTTTTGTTTAATCGGAGACACAGCTTGCCGCAGCTGCCCCCACCAAAACCACAAAGGAAGGACCGTCATGGAATCGCCCAGACAGGGAAGTGGGGCACAGGGAAGCCCAGAATCGAGCCTGAAGGCCACTCCATACTGCCTCCTCCCCGGTAATGCAATCGTGGCTAGATGGGGACCCGGCTTCCATTTGCATACCCCTGGGGACGGGGAACTCACTCCCCTTTGAGGCACTTCATTCCATCTTGGGGTAGCCGATTTCCAGAAGTTCTATCAATGTGGCCTCCTTTTAACTGACACCTGGCTAGTTTTAATTCTGCCCTTCAGGATAGATAGTCACCTAAATAACGTGCATGCCCCAGCTGGGGCAAATGACAGAGAAGGAGCCCGGCAAGACCATAACCTCTTCAAAGTCACAGAAGGACCGGGGTTTAGGGACAGAATGGCCCATGAGCCCCTAGGTCATTACTGCTGAAAGCGCTGGTTCTCCACTTGCGCTACAAGCTGAACTCACAGGTGAGGGGAGGCTGGGGTTGGAGACAGCCTCCCTGCTGGAGGCCTGGGCCTTCCTAGAGGCCACTAGCCGGCTCCCAAGAGGAACTTCCACACAGTGACCGCCACATGCCCCTCCTGGGGGCCTCACACCCTGCCTGAGGCAGGTGTGGGGTGGCATCTCAGAGTCCTCTGAGACAGAGGGAGCCTCACCCGCCATTGTTCAAGTTCACTCCTGCTATGGAGCCAAGCCTGGGGCCTCCAAACCCTGAGCTCAAGATGGAGATGTGCATCCCGCTGGCCGCAGGAAGAAAGCAAAGCTGAATGCCAGTGGGACCTCTTAAAGCAGGGTGCTGCCTGCGTCCCGGGCCCCACTGCCTCCGGGGCTGCATGTTTAATCTGGGCACAAGCAATGCCTGCTCACCGTGGTGCCAGCAGGGAGAAGACCAGGGACACCAAAGTCCTTGTGTGCCGAGGGCCATCCTGGTTTGGGCACCGAAAGTTCTGCCTCCCGCGAAGCCCCAGGCAAGCCAAGAGGGTTGGTCACCCCAGAAGAGAGTTACGCTCCGGGGCTCGCTCTCCTCCTGCAGTCCCTCTCGATTGGGCTCAGAGAAGGGATGGGACCTGGCTGAGGTCACGTGGTGATCTGGCAGCAGCCAGCGCCAGAACTCAGGCCATCCTTCCCCTGCAGCCTGGTGACCCCAAGCCACCCACCCAGCGGAGCCCTCTCTCTTCTTGGTGTCAGCCTTGCTGTGGGCCACTCGGTTCATCACTCCCCCAGCCTGCTCCTCACCAAGCCCTTCCACTGACCCCTTGGGGCCATCAGATCGGCCCTCTTCATCTCTGTTGTCCGTCATCTTCCAGATCTCCTCCTGGCAACCTGTCCACCCATTCTCTACAGCGCAGGCAAGGGCACTTCCCAAAGCACAAATCCGATGATCTCCCTCTGCTCAAAGACCTTCTGTGTCTCCCGGTACCACTAGGATAAAGCCAGAGGCCCCAGCATGGCTCACAGCTCTGTGACTTGGGCTGTTTCTCTCTAGGCCCTGCTTGGCCATGGCCTGGTCCCTCCTCCTCGGGCCCTGAGGGTACCACACCCTCCTCTGAGACCCTCCCACTCTGCTCCCCAACCTCAAGTCTGAGGGCGGACACCTTCATGGACCGCCCTCCTTTGGGTACCCTCCTTTATACTGCCTACACCTCCCTTCTGCTGTGGGTGTGTGCTCAGTGAGGTGATGTGTTCAGAGCCACAGTCAGGTTGCTGAGTCACTGCCAAGTTTACTGCCCCCAGTCACAAAGCTGGCTGCCTGAGTGGGCAGGGACCAAGGCTGCTTTGCCAATGGGACCCCAGATCCTGGCTCCTGGTGTTAGGTGAGCCTCGAGATACCTGCTGACTCTCCATCTGCCTTGGGCAGCAGGGGGTCTGGCTCCTGGCCTGGGGTCACTTTGGGGACTTGATAGACGGGTGACACGGGAGGCAGAGGGTGCATCCCTGGTTCACCATGGGACCTTGTCCTGGCCTCAGTTTCTCTAGCTGTCAGCGAGATGACTGGCTTGGGCAATCCCTCCGGGGTGGCCTCTCTCATACCAAACTGTGTGAGCTGTGACAATGGCGGCACCTGCCCCACCCCCCTCCCCGGGGGCCAATGAGTCTGCACACCTCTCAGCTTGCCCACCTTTGGTAACCTGTTGCTGGTGGCTTGGATGCATTTTTGTTTTTTTGAGTTGAAGTCTCACTCTGTCGCCCAGACTGGAGTGCAGTGGCCGCTCCCGGCCACCGCAGCCTCGACCTGCTGGGCTCTGGCGATCCTTCCGCCTCAGCCTTCCAAGTAGCCGGAATTACAGGCATGTGCTACCATGCCCGGCTGATTTTTTGATTTATTGTAGAGATGAGGTCTCGCTGCCCAGGCGGGTCTCGAACCCGCGGGCTCAGGCAATCCACTCACCTCAGCCTCCCAAAGGCACGGGATGACAGGCTGAGCCACCGAGCCCGGCTTGGATGCATTTTTTAAGTGCTGCGAAGGCAAGTGCATGACAGCCGAAGTGATATGCCAACGGTGAGGCATGTTAAGAAGGATGGACAGCCAGGCTCGGTGGCTCAGCCTGCCATCCCAGCACTTTGGGAGGCCGAGGAGAGTGGACTGCCTGACCCCATGGGTTCGAGACCCGCCCGGGCCACTTGGCGAGACCTCGTCTCGACAATAAATCAAACATGAGCCGGGCGTGGTAGCGCGCGCCTGGAGTTCCAGCTACTTGGAAGGCTGAGGCGGAAGGATCGCCGGAGCAGAGCAGGGTGAAGCTGGAATAGCCCTGAGTGTGCCACTGCACTCCAGCCTGGGCGACAGAGTGAGACTCTGACTCAAAAGAGGACAGACAAAAAGTGTTGCCGATGCTTCCAAAACAAGCAGAATCACACACAGGTGGCAGGAGTCAGGCCTCAGGAGTCTCCTGGGCCTCCTGAGGACCATCGTCGAGCACACCTGCTGAGGGACCTACTCGGAGGCAGCTGTGTGGCTCACGTGAGCTCAGAAGCATGGGCTTTGAGGGGGAGAGGCGGCAACCCGGGGCCGGAGAGGACGAAGTATTCTAGAATGTTCGTGTCCGTGCCGAGCCCCGGTTCCCGAGTGGTGTTCTTCCTTGCAGGCAAGAAATGTTTTTGATGAGATGAAATCTGAGCCTGGATCATGATTTCTTGTAGGTTTTTTTTTCCTTTTTTTAAAACTCAAAACTCTTTTTTTTTTTACCATTGAGGCATAGCTTACTATACTAGAATGTACAGATTCCAGGTGGACCACGAGATGACTTTGGGCAAACGTATCTCTCCCTTCACCGCACCCTAGTCAAGTATACTGGATGTTTCCGTCACTGCACAAAGTCTTATCTGTCCCCTTCCTGTCAATCAGAGGCCACCACGGCTCCACTTCCTAGGGCCGCAGATTCACCAGGCCCGTGTCGGCACTTCAAATCCACGGGTCATACACTGAGTACTATTCTGTGTCTGGCTTCTTTTGTTCAATTAATTACTTTTGAGATTAGTCCATTTTCTTTTATATAGTTTATAGTTGCTTCTATTGCTGAATATACACTTTTATGTATATTTCTACTTATATTTGTTATAATATATACTTATTTATCCTTTTTCTCATTGGTGGACACTGGGTTGTCTCCTGTTTCTGGCTATTATAAATAAAGCTGCTATGAACAACCTTATTTAAAACACTTTTTCATTTCATTTTTAATTTTTCCATTTTTATTTTATTTTTTGAGTTGGAGCCTCACTCAGTCACCCAAGCTGGAGGGCAGTGGCACGCTCCCGGCCACCGCAGCCTCGACCTGCTGGGCTCAGGTGATCCTTCCACCTCAGCCTTCCAAGTAGCCGGAACCACAGGCACGTGTCACCACAACTGGCTAATTTTTTTGGATTTATTGTAGAGATGAGGTCTCGCCAAGTTGCCCAGGCCGGTCTCGAACTCCTGGACTCAGGAAATCCTCTCACCTCGGCCTCCCATAGCGCTGGGATTATAGACGTGCGTCACCGTGCCTGGGCCATTTTTATTTTAGATTCAGAGGGTACATGAGTATGTTTGTTACCTGGATATACTGTGTAGGGGTGGGAGTTGGGTCTCAGGTGGCCCATTCCCTAGACAGTGAACACTGTACACAATAGGTAATTTCTGAACCCTAATCTCCCTCTGTACCTGCCTCCTACTGGTGTCCCCAGTATCTATCATTCTCATTTCTGGAACAATCTTATAATTCTTAAAAATTCCCTGGCTGGCTTCCTCTGCCCCGAGTTCCCATAATTCCACGGATGTAGCTCAGGCTCTCCCTGAAGGGCGCCTCTGCAGACCTCAAGTCCACTCAAGTTCACCGCCCGCTCCACGGGGGCAGGTCCTGTGGCTGCACTTGCAGTACCCGGTGCAGAGGGAGATGGGGAGGGGGCCTGGTGGGGGCTTGGTCCCCACAAGCACACACAATCTCATGATGGCGTGAACAGCACTGAGGCTGTGAGACAAGGAAGGGCGTGGATCAAGAGCCACGTGGACTCCTTGGGACTCCTTGGGACGGGCACTGGGGACGGGCGGGAGAGCTGAGGCCTGAGGGAAGAGTTCTCGGCAGGGAAGGCGAGCATGCCAGGGACCCTGGGAAGGACAGACTCCCTTAACTCAAGGAAGAGAAATACCCTCCGGCTGTGTGGCTGAACGCCCTAGAGCAACGGAAACAGAATACCTTCCCCACTTCAGAATACCTTCCCCACTTTGCAATACAAAAATGTCGGGTGAAAAAAAAGCAAGCCTAGAAGATTGCACAGTCAGATAAGCGGGATGAAATCAGCAGCAAAAATCAAGGGTAAGAGCGACGTGGGTGGGCGGCGGTTTCCATCACTGTCATGGTTGCTGTTGGGGCGCTGTTATTCAATAAACAAACTCCAAATAAAGCAGGATCAAGAAGTATGTCATGAACCACAGATTATGAGTAATCGAATTCCACACACCTGAGGTCCGTTGAAGAAAAGGTTCAAAATGTTTGGGGGTGAGCAACAGCAGACCTGATCTATACTTTAAGCCCCTGGCTCTGGCTGCGTGGAGTCACTCCTGCCCAGGCCCCATCTTCTCTCTGAAAGCTGTTATTCTCTCTGAGAGCGGGCTCAGGCTCTGTCTGTATTAGTCAGGGTTCTCCCGAGGCACAGAACCAACAGGATACAGATGATAGATCCAGATATAGACACAGGTATAGATATAGACAGATATAGACAGAGATACAGACATAGATACAGGAGAGGGGACTTGTTAGGGGAGTTGGCTCACGTGATTATGGAGACTGAGAAGTCCCACAAGAGGCCGGCTGCAAGTTGGAGACCCAGGGAAGCGGGCGGTGTGGCTCGGTCCAAGTCTGAAGGCCTCAAACCGAGAAAGCTAATGGTGTAACTCTCGGTCCAAGGCCAAAGGCCTGAGAACCTGCGGGGCCACTGGTGCAAGCCCCAGGGTCCAAAGGCTGAAGAGGCTGGTGTTCTGGTGTCCACAGGCAGGAGAGGCAGGGTGTCTCAGCTGCAGAAGAGAGTGTGCGACTTCACCTTTGTTCTATCTTTTTGTCCCAGCCAGGCCCTCAGTTGACTGGATGGTGCCCGTCACACTGCGGGTGGGTCTTCCCTACTCAGTCCACTGATTCAAATGCCAATCTCTTCTAGAAACACAAAGATACCCGGGAATGACGCTTCACCATGCTGCATAGCCCTTAATCCAGGCAAGCTGAGAGCTGAAGTCAGTCATAAGGACCCACCCATTGTGGTCCACAGAGGAAGCCCAAGGGACCCCGGGGGCCAGGACCCAGACACCAGAGCCCACGAGTCTGACTGCATCAGAGCTGACACCAAGGCAGGCCCCAGCCCCTGTGCCCCTCCGGTCAGGAGCCTGGAAGGATGGTCAGGTGAGCCGAGAGGAGGTCACAGACAAAGTCAGCAGTGCCTGTCAGAGCTCTCCAGGATTGAGGGGTCGGGAGGCAAGATGTGCCTGTGTTTCTGCAAGGGGTGAGGGGGAAGGACCCCAATCAAGGAAGAGCTTGGAAATGTCTAGAGCAGGGTTACAGCTCACAGTCTGCGGGGCAGGCAGCTGAGATACTCAAGTGAAGAGAACCAGGACCAAGACACGCTTTGCATATTAAACACCTGGGCACATTCTCCACTTTCACGAAGAAACATGGGCCCCCTCTCAGCCTATTTTTCTTCCTTGTACTTTTGGGCAAGAACAGTAGAGACATATTTTTTCTGTACCCAAGAAATAGGCCAGTACCAGCATGATGTCAGATGGGCCCAGTGCCTAGTCTCGGTGTAGGGGACACCTGAGAGTGGAAGGAACCA